TATTAGACAGATCAATGAGACAGAACTTTAACAAAGATATTCAGGACTTGAATTCAGCTCTGGACCAAGAGGACCTAATAGACATCTACAGAACTCTCCAGCCCAAATCAATAGAATATACATTCTTCTCAGCTCCATGTAGCACTTACTGTAAAACTGACCATATAATTGGAAGTAAAACACTCCTCAGCAAATGCAAAAGATAAAAATCATAACAGTCTCTCAGACCACAGTGCAACCAAATTAGAACTTAGGATTAAGAAACTCACTCAAACTACACAACTACATGGAAACTGAACAACCTGCTCCTGAATGACTACTGGGTAAATAACAAAATTAAGGCAGAAATAAGTAACTTCTTTGAAACCAATGAGAACATAGACTTCATATACCAGAATCTCTGAGACATAGCTAAAGCAGTGATTGGGGGAAATTTACAGGACTAAATACCCACAGGAGAAAGCAAGAAAGATCTAAAATCAACACCCTAACATCACAATTAAAAGAACTAGAGAAGCAAGAGCAAACAAATTCAAATGCTATCAGAAGACAAGAAATAACTAAGATCAGAGCAGAACTGAAGGAGATAGACACGAAAAATTCTTCAAAAAAATCAATGGATCAAGGAGCTGGTTTTTTGAAAAGATTAACAAAACAGAACACTAGCCAGACTAATAAAGAAGAAAAGCAAGAAGAATCAAATAGACACAATAAAAAAAATGATAAAGGGGAGATCACCATTGATTCCATAGAAATACAAACTATCATCAGAGAATACAATAAACACCTCTATGCAAACAAACTAGAAAATCTAGAAGAAATGGATAAATTTCTAGACACATACACCCTCCTAAGACTAAACCAGCAAGAAGTCAAATCCCTAAATAGACCAATAACAAGTTCTGAAATTAAGGCAGTAATTAATAGCCTACCAACCAAAAAAAGCCAAGGACCAGAGAGATTCACGACCAAATTCTACCAGAGGTACAAAGAGGAGCTGGTACCATTCCTTCTGAAACTATTCCAAACAATAAAAAAAAAGGGGACTCCTCCCTAACTCATTTTATGAGGCAAGCATCATCCTGATACCAAAACCTGGCAGAGACACAACAAAAAAAAAGAAAATTTCAGGCCAATATCCCTGATGAACATTGATGTGAAATTCCTCAATAAAATACTGGCCAACCGAATCTGGCAGCACATCAAAATGCTTATCCACCACAATCAAGTCAGCTTCATCCCTGGGATGCAAGTCTGGTTCAACATACACAAATCAATAAACATAATCCATCACATAAACAGAACCAATGACAAAAACCACATAATTATCTCAATAGATGCAGAAAAGGCCTTCAATAAAATTCAACACCCCTTCACGCTAAAAACCCTCAATAAACTAGGTATTGATGGAACATACCTCAAAATAATAAGAGCTATTTTTGACAAACCAACAGCCAATATCATACTGAATGGGCAAAGGCTGGAAGTATTCCGCTGGAAAATCAGCACAGGACAAGGATGTCCTCTCTCATCATTCCTATTCAACATAGTATTGGAAGTTCTGGCTGGGGCAATCAGACAAGAGAAAGAAATAATGTGTATTCATATAGTAAAAGAGGACGTCAAATTATCTCTGTTTGCAGATGACATGATTGTATATTTAGAAAACTCCATTGTCTCAGCCCAAAAACTCGTTAAGCTGATAAGGAACTTCACAAAGTCTCAGGATACAAAATCGATGTGCAAAAATCACAAGCATTCCTATACACCAATAATAGAGAGCCAAATCATGAGCAAACTCCCATTCGCAATTACTATAAACAGAATAAAATACCTAGGAATACAACTTACAGGGGATGTTGAAGGACCTCTTCAAGGAGAACTACAAACCACTGCTCAGGGAAATAAGAGAGGACACAAACAAATGGAAAAACATTCCATGATAACGTATAGGAAGAATCAATATCATGAAAATAACGATATTGCCCAAACTAATTTACAGATTCAATGCTATCCCCATCAAGCTACCATTGACTTTCTTCCCAGAATTAGAAAGAATGACTTTAAATTTCATATGGAACAAAAAAAGGGCCCATATAGCCAAGACAATCCTAAGCAAAAGAAAAAAGCTAGAGGCATCATGCTACCTGAAACTATATGAAACTTGAAACTATACTAAAAAGCTACAGTAACAAAAACAGCAGGGTACTGTTACCAAAACAGATATATAGACCAATGGAACAGAACAGAGAGCTCAGAAATAACACCACATATCTACAACCATCTGATCTTTGACAAACCTGACAAAAACAAGCAGTGGGAAAGAATTTGCTATTTAATAAATGGTGTTGGGAAAACTGTCTTGTCGTATGCAGAAAACTGAAACTGGATTCCTTCCTTATACCTTATACAAAAATTAACTCAAGATGGATTAAAGATTTAAACATAAGACCTAAAACCATAAAACCCCTAGAAGAAAACCTAGGCAATACCATTCAGGACACAGGGATGGGCAAAGAGTTCATGACTAAAATAACCAAAACAATTGCAACAAAATCCAAATTGACAAATGGGATCTAATTAAACTAAAGAACTTCTGCATAGCAAAAGAAAATACCATCAGAGTGAACAGGCAACCTACAGAATGGGAGAAAATTTTTGCAAGCTATCCATCTGACAAAGGGCTAATATCCAGAATCTACAAGGAACTTAGACAAATTTATAAGAAAATAACAACCCAGCAAAGGATATGATCAGACACTTTTCAAAAGAAGACATTTATGTGGCCAATAAACATGAAAAAAAGCTCATCATCACTGGTCATTAGAGAAATGCAAATCAAAACCACAATGAGATACCATCTCATACCAGTTAGAATAGTGATCATTAAAAAGTCAGGAAACAATAGATGCTGGAGAGGATATGGAGAAATAGGAACATTTTTGAACTGTTGGTAGGACAGTAAATTAGCTCAACCATTGTGGATGACAGTGTGGTGATTCCTCAAGGATCTAGAACTAGAAATAACATGTGACCCAGCAATCCCATTACTGGATATATACCCAAAGGATTATAAATCATTCTACTATAATGACATATGCACATGTATGTTTATTGTGGCACTATTCACAATAGCAAAGATTTGGAACTAACTAAATGCCCATCAATGATAGACTGGATAAAGAAAATGTGGCACATATATACTGGAATATTATACAACCATCAAAAAAAAAGGATGAGTTCATGTCCTTTTCAGGGACATGAATGAAGCTAGAAACCATCATTCTCAGCAAACTAACACAGGACCAGAAAACTAACCACCACACGTTCTCACTCATAAGTGGGAGTTGAACAATGAGAACATATGAGCACAGGGAGGGGAACATCACCCATTTGGGAGGGATAGCATTAGGAGAAATACCTAATGTAGACGAAAGGTTGATGGGTACAGTAAACCACCATGGCATATGTATACCTATGTTACAAACCTTCTTGTTCTGCACATGTATTCCAGAACTTAAAGTATAATTTAAAAAAAAAAGGAAAAGAAAAAGAAAAAAGAAATCCTGCACTTCACAGCACCAATTAAAATTATACTTAAATTTGTATAAGTGTGATCAGTATCTGTCTTTTCCTGTCCACACTCCCCATTAAACTAAAAGCTCCATGAGGGCAAGAACTACACCATACAAACAAATTTAAAAAAAAAAAAAAAAAAAAAAAAAAAAAAAAAAAAAAAAAAAAAAAAAAAAGAACTACACCATATGAGTACCTGGCACATAGCTATAACTCAATTACTTCAGCCGTATCAGATTAAAAAGAATTTACTTTATGCCTCAACAAAACTCTGAGATAAAATGGTACTCCTCACATCACATCTTTTCTGGAAAAGCTAGTAAGAACATTTCTTTTTTTTTTTTTTTCTTTTATTGCATTTTAAGTTTGGGGGTACATGTGAAGAACATGCAGTAAGAACATTTCTTGAGCTCCTGCTAGTCTAAGATTTTTTAGGCACTATTCTAAAATTTTTACATGCATTCTCATTTAATTCTCATGACAAACCCATAAAGTACATACCATGATTATTCCAATTTTACAGATGAGACATTTGAAGCAGAAAGGTTGTACAATTCTCTCAAGGTTATAGAGATGAATGGCAGAGATAAGATTCAAATCTAAGTAGCCTAGCCTAAAAGCCCATGCTTTTATTCACTACACTGTAACACCTTTTATTGAAGAAGACACGAAATTCTTGAGTACCAATGAATTTAGCCAAATAAAACAAATGATATGAAGACAAATTCAGAATGAGATATACAAGTCTCCAATTCTACAAGACGATTCAAAGATATTGTCACCACAAATCATTCCAATGTCTGATCCTTACTTTTATTTAAAACAACCGTCAAAACTAAAACCACATCTTCCTTTTCAATTGACAGACATAGATGGAGACTGAAACCCAAAATATTTTCACTTCAAAACATTTTCTTCTGCCACTGAATCCCTGATTTATAAAAATACAGACAGACTGTTTTTATCTGCCAAGGCACCCAATCACTAAACTGGGCCAACAGAGCTCCATATGTATTGCCTGTGTTTTCCACTGGAGGCAGCAGAAATGCATGAGGACTGCCACTGTCTCCATGGCTTTGTCTTTCTAGTTCTCCCTGTATAGGATGTAGGAAAATAATACATTTCGAGTTTGAATGGGCCCTCAGTATTTATTCAAAAAAATACCAAAAACCAATGCAAAGCATGTGACAGGGAAGATGGATCACTAGAGAGGAAGCAAGGAGAACAACTCAGATGATTAGAATCTGCCCAGCAGATGCTTCTAAGTCCCAAGTATTCAGTAGCATGCTTCCAAGATTACACCCAATCTTACCACAGCACCTGAGGAGTCTGTGACTCTTCCAGTTTACGAAGCCTTGTTGGTGCACCATGGAATGTGAAAGACCTTAAGAAATCTAAAATTAGAAAGGGAAAATTTAACTCACCTTCCACTGCTCCTCGGGAAGCAGTTTCACGACCACCAGATCCCCATTTAAGGCTCTATTACGAGCAACGACCCCATCAATAAAAATGTCTCGATCACCATCCTAGGTTAAAAAAAGAAATAAAACAATAGCTTAAAAACACATAAAGCAAAAAAACTGAGATTACATGCTTTCATAACTGAAATGAGAAAATAGCAAGTTATTTTTAGATTATCCTTTTTGTATTAAAGCAAAAATATGTTATAAAAATAAAGTATTTTTAAAACTAAGTGAATTTTTTAAAGTATCAAGAAAGTATAAAAATAGAAGGTATGCAACAGAACAGAAGAGGAACCACACATAATATTCCCAAAGAAAACAAACTAAGGGCAGGAACAGCAATGGCTCTGGGATTTGGGCTCTCTAGGAAGAAACCAGCAAACTCATAATGCCCCTAAGAAAGTGGCAGAGATACTAAACTGTGGTTGTTTTTATGGAGACCTAAGTAGAAGGCAAAGAAGAGAAGGAAAGAGATGTAATAAGAGATTCATCATGTGCTCTTTACACTCTACTGATCTTGCTGACAGGACCACTGTGAACTCCAGACCATGAACACAAGGTATAGACACTTTCATCCTCACTCACTCATTCAGAAATAACCCACTTTAAACAATGTGGCTCCCCAGTGAACTCCCCAGGTGTCAACTTCTTGGCTTAAATAGGTACCAGAGTCTTCTTGGTAAGCCAAATTACTTTGAAATTTTAAATAGACAAGATAGCTAAGAAGAAGAAGGTCTTCAGCAGCAGTCAGGGTCCCTGAGAAAATGAAATATTTTCAAAATGTTTGACCAACAAGCATGTACTCTTATCCTTCTATTCTCTAAAAGTTTATATGATGTGCTCCTTTTCAGAGAATGAGAGAAGTAAAATATTATTTTTTCTTACAGGAGGTGACAGCAAAAGTCTGGAAAATCATCACTCAAAGTTTTCTTCTAGGGACACAACACAGATAAGATTTAACATAACATTCAATGGACTGAAGGCAATTACTATGACATTTTAGAAGAAGTTAAAATTAACATCCCAAACTCACCAAAGCAAAAAAAAAAAAAAAAATAGCAGGAGGGCGCAGATTCTAGTCACTCAGCGTTTTTTATGGTTTCCACTTACAAACCATTAGAGATCTTCTAGAACAGTTTTGTTCCTCAATTTCCAGTTTAGCTATGGGTTGACAGCTATGGCCTGCACACTCTGCCAAAACCGACCCCACCCTAGTCCCTGAGGAAAAGCTACTGTGTTAGCCACAAAACATGACTGTAGCTGACCTCTTGACAAGCTTCTCAGACAGATCTGGAAGAAACAGCCAGTAAACAGAGAGTGAACAACTGAAATATGGCACATCATCATGAATTGCTGCTTTTTGCAATTCAAAAAGCAATAGGATCTCTTGGACCTCCTTGGGATGAAAAGTGGGCTGTTTGGAGGTCACCCTAACCCATACTCTGTGTCAAACATATGAAATGAAATGCCTCTATTATAAGCAGCTATTAACACCTTTTGGCAGCTCAGAGATTTCAGATTGATAGGATGATAGTACTGTCACCTTACTATCCCAAAAAATCAAGGAAAGCACGGCTGAGTTGAACCTCAGACAACACAAAAATCTACAGCTACTGTATCACTACTCAGCTCTTCCTTGATTCACAGAGAAGACTGATCTGTCACTGAATCTCTTAAAGATACTAAGCGTGGGAACTGCTCAGTATTAAAAGTATGAGTCATCCCGTTTAACCACTTTTTAAGGCCAAAGATTTCAGCTCTTTGTTTGGATGCCAGAAGTCTTGTTCTAGCCATCAGAAAGAATAATAGATAATATATAAAAAAGAAAGAAAGGAAAGAAAGGAAGAAGAGAAAGAAAGAGAGAGAGAGAGAG